ACCCAGCACCATGGGGGCTCTCACAGGCCTCGCGTGCCTGGCTGCTGCAGATACCCAGCACCATGGGGGCTCTCACAGGCCTTGCGTGCCTGGCTGTTGCAGACTGGCTTCCCAACTCGTCCCTGGCCTGCCATTTCTCCTGTATTTCTCTTACTATAGGAAGCCCCTCTCTCTGTAGATACCCAGATATGTTCTTCTCCATTCAGGAACCAAGTACTCCTGAGCCCCACTCCTCATTTAACCCTGCACTTCATGCCCAGTGCCTGTGTAGTCCCCTGTGCAGAGGGGTACCCACTGCCACTGCTGGAGAGCAATGAGAAAGTTATCTCCCCTGCTGCTGGTCTTACATACCTACAGTCCATTCTCCAGACTTCCAGAAGTGACCTTCTTGAAAGGCAAATCAGTTCTATTATGGCTGCTGAGAACCCTGACACACCCTCCCTGCTGTGGGTGCAAGAGCCCAGCCTCCCCTGTAGCCTGGGTCTGCCCTGGGGCCCAACCCTCACCCAGTCTATTCTGCTAACAGCTCTGCCTCCTGAAGCTCTTCTTTGTCCCCTGCTGCACTGGCTGTTTGCATCTCCTGCCTCTGTCTGGTGTATCCTCCCCCTGTCCTGCGTATTGACTCCTGACACGGCAAATCCCTGTTAAAGAAAATCCTTTTAGGAAACATTTCTGACCATCTTCATCAAGGTGACAGCAGCAAATGTTTATGTGCTGTTCACTGCATGGGGCACTGTCCTGAGAACTTTGTGTTAGCTTATCTTACATGACCACCTCCTCTGAATTTTACATGAACACAAGCAGGCACAGGGCACTTAAACGACCTGCCCAAGGTCACACAGCTAATGAGTGACAGAGCTGGGGTTTAAAGCCAGACTGAGTCCTGATCCCAGTTACTGTGCTGCTGTGGCCTCACACAGCACTCACTGACCCTCCTGGCCCCAGGCATGTCTTTCTAACACTGCTGAAGAGCAGGTCTCAACAGGATGGGGAGGAGGCTTCCTGAGTCTTCCTTACTCGGGGCTGGGAACAGACCCAGCAGTGGAGGCATGGTCACACTCCCAGTGACCACACCCGCTATGCTTCCTGGAGCTGGTGGGCAGTCTCCTCAGTGCGTAGTACATGGCCCAGGTTCACGTGGAGCCACTGGGCTGTGAACTCGAGGAGTAAAGGCTGGAAGACAGGCACAAGGAGCAGAGGTCTGGACCACTGCTCCAGTGACTGCAGGCCCCAAAGGATTCTAGATGGCTCTGTTCAAATGCAGATGAGTCTTCCCTGGCCAGGCTGCCTGCACAGCTCCAGTCTGCAGGATGTCAGTAAGTAATCTTGCTACCGGTTTAAGGAGCTAATCCGACATGTCAAGCTGGGTCTGTCATGCTCAGGATTTTGTGCTCCTGGCACATACACCCTGTGTCCAGTGTTCACAGGAGGAAACTGAGGCTCAGGGAGGCTGGGTTACTGCCCCAGTTCTGTCTTTTTTACTGAGACAGATTTGCCTCTGTGTTGTCTTCAAAGATAATTTTTTGTTTATTTTGAGAGGAAAGAATATTGGAGTTATTTTCTCCAGAGATTTGCTGGATTTTACTTTTAAAAGGCTTGTCTCTCAAACTTGTAGGTGGAAAGTGAGACCAACGTCCTGCAGGACGGCTCCCTCATCGACCTGTGTGGGGCTACTCTTCTCTGGAGAACAGCAGACGGCCTTTTTCACACTCCAACCCAGAAGCACATAGAAGCCCTCCGGCAGGAGATCAATGCCGCCCGGCCGCAGTGTCCCGTGGGGCTCAACACCTTGGCCTTCCCCAGCATCAGCAGGAAAGAGGTGGTGGAGGAGAAGCAGCCCTGGGCATACCTCAGCTGCGGCCACGTGCACGGGTACCACGACTGGGGCCACCGGAGTGACACGGAGGCCAATGAGAGGGAGTGTCCCATGTGCAGGACTGTGGGTCCCTACGTGCCCCTCTGGTTGGGCTGTGAGGCAGGATTTTACGTAGACGCAGGACCGCCAACCCATGCTTTCACCCCCTGTGGACACGTGTGCTCAGAGAAGTCTGCAAAATACTGGTCTCAGATCCCACTGCCTCATGGAACCCACGCATTCCATGCCGCCTGCCCCTTCTGCGCAACACAGCTGGTCGGGGAGCAGAACTGCATCAAATTGATTTTCCAGGGTCCAATTGACTAATGCCCTTGACAACCACCTACAACTTTATTAACAAATTACTGTGAAGATTTTGCCACTAATTCTAGATTTTCCTTTTTGTAATGCTGTTTATTAAGGGAAAAGGGCCTAGGGCTGGGATGTAGGAAGGGCCACTGTGATGAAACTCATCCAGAGTGTGACAGATGGCAGCGGTGTGTAGTGTGCTCAAAACCACAGCACCGTCATGGGAGTCTGCTTGACTAAACCGTAATACCTTTGTAATAATTGGATTTTAAATGCCATGCTTTTATTTTTAACCTTGGATTTTTAACCAAGTTTTTTCCTTTGTAAACTTGGACAAGGACAAAATTTTGTCCTATTTTACAAACGTAGATGAAATTCATTCAAAAGTTGTTGGCACATTAATGTGTGACCTTCAGTGCTCTGTGATACAGGTGGCAATAAATCCTGTACAGGTGGCAGCTAAGTCTGACCACATACCAAAGGGGGGGCCCTACAAGTGACAGCGCATGGAAGACCTTAGACACAAGTGGTTATTTTGAAATCTGGGGCTTTTTTCTAATTTTTTTTTTTTAACTTTTGGAGGAGAGAATATTCATACACTTTGGGCTTTTTTTAACTTCATTGAAATTTACTTTATACACTCATTCCTCAAAATCGTGGCATTTCAAACAAAGAATTTTACATAACTTTTTAGTCGGCCTTTTGTTATTTCTACCTAATATAATTTGTCACTAATACTCATCTTGCCAGGCCAAAACTGTTTGGTTGATTAAAATGTGTCAGCTCTTAAAAATTAATTAACCAAGAGTGATGATTACAGCAGTAGACGTGGCCTGGGTATTATACGACCAAGTTTATTTGCCTACTAAATTGTTTAAAGAATTAGGAATGACTAAAAGTGAGCTTTTACTTTTTAAAACCACTTGTTGGGGTTTTATAAGGTTTATAGTTTTCTTCTTTAAGAAAGCCAAAATAATTCTGTGAGTCTAAAAACAAATCCCAGCGACACAGTCATTTTTGTTCACTCCCTCACCACCATCTGTCACCTTCCCTTGCAGCTTATGAGCCCTATGAGTTTTGGAAATGTTTGCAAATCACACTAAATTTAAATATGATCTTTAGATACACACAACACCAAGTGGTACAGCTGCAGAGATCATTTGAAATTCTTGATTTGCAGTGAGCAAATGAGTGTTTACTGGGGAATAATTAAATCAGAATTTCATATGAGCCCCCCCCACCACTACCACCCCCCCCCCACCCCCGTTAGTTTCATTCTATTTGATGAAGATTCCTGGGTGCTCATTCTCCGTGCTCTGGGCCAGCAGGGTCAGCACCCCCAGAAATCAGAGGTCCCTCAGGGCACAGAGACCGCTGGAGGAAGCTGGCTGAGATCAGTTAAACCCCTGCCGGTGGAGCAAGTATGTATTTACACTGTCATTCTCTTAAATTGGCCATTGCACATTTGGGTGACCTTTTTTTAACTTTTGTAAATATCTATAATTTATACAGTTCTAATATGCTATGTCTATACTTGAATTGGTGGGTCCAGGTTCTGCTTCCCGGCAGGTATTTTGCCAGCTTACATTTGCTCCAACCTAGTTGATATGATCTATTACTCTTGATTGCTGCTGCTTAATCCGAGTTAGTATTTTAAACATTCAGGCTCTCAGTTTTAAAACAGCTTTATTTTTCAATGGAGGTCATTGTTTAAGATGAGGCATTTTGGATTTTGGTTTGGTTTGCTAATTTTTAATTGATGTGAAAATTTAACAACAGTCTCTTCCTGACAGCTTCCGCTATTCTATATAGCTTACCTTACCTAAGGACAGAAAATGAAAGGAAAAGAAATGGACTTGCCTAGAATATATTGAATGCCTTTTGATTTAGCCAGAGTCTCCAATGATGAGCTTTCATAAGAGTCTGTCTTCTTAGCCTGTGAGTCTTCAGGCTCCAAAGAATGTTAAAGGAGGCTCTTGTTTCCCCTTCCTTGCTGTATGGCTTGAAGATGGATTAAGGGTTCTTGATACCCTAAAAGCATCGTCTAAGCTTAACGTTCTTATGTCCAGAAAGGCCAGATTTTACCTACCAAAAAATTTTTTTCCAAAAAAATTATGTACATCATAAGTCTAGTAGTTCTGCATATATGTGATAAGTGCCCCCAAATAAAATTACCTTCAAACCTGAAGTTTTGGACTTAAATAAACTCAGATACCTTAAGTGTAAGCTGAAATTTGGGCAGTGAGTTCCAAGCCCTTGGAAGGGTAACAGTGAGTCCCCCTCTGTCAGCTCCTGTCTTTTCCTCTGGCTTCGCGGAGCTGCAGCAAGTGGCAAGTCTGGAGAAAGGAGACCATACTGCTCTCGGCCGCCTGGAGTAAGAGCCACCCCTTTATAATGTGGACTAATAAGATTCCTTCATGATTTTTCCCCAGAGTTGAAAGCAATTTAGTTTGTAAAGAACTCTAGCTCACCAAGGAGAGTAATTCAATTCAGAAAAGTTAACTTCTGAAAAGTCACTTCTGTTTTTATCCTTGCTTGCCATCCCATTACAGGATGAGTCCTGCTCCCCTGTGTGTATATAAACATAAGAAAATTGCTGACCAGTTTGATCTCGGCCTGACTAAAATGCCTTTTGAGAGTAGGTTTCCATAAGTAAAGCCCCAGTGTTGTGTTCCCTTAGAAATACTATTTTTTTCAGTTGTTTATGTCAGTTTACTACCAAAAAAAAAAAAAAAAAAAAGATTCAGAGTGGATGGAGCACAACTCTGAGTATTTTTCTAGTCTGGAATTTTTATTAATAATTGGTGCTGCCGGGTCTTGCCTGCTGCAACTCTCAGTGTTTCTCTTACTTGGGATGGCTTTTTGCAGAAAGGGCTACAGTTCACACTGCAGAGTAAGTATTAAGTTTCCTGGATTTTTACCCTTACTGTGGCCCAAAAGAATTAAAATTTGTTAATATAAAGAGCATATTTATCATTCCCCAGTAGTTAATTATAGAGTTTGGTAACTTTATGCCTCAGGGATGCCACGTGACATATAGCTGGTTATAGAACTTCAGGGTTAGGGTTTAAAGAAAGGAGAAAGCCATTGGAAAAATGATAGGCTTCGTTAAGGAGACTAATGAATCTGTATGCAGAAATATGCTGGGAACTGGCATAAACATGATTGTAGTAGAATTTATTTTTCAGTACCAATAGGGAAATTATTCTGAGTTATCACATACACTGTGTTAGGAAAGTTGAGAACTCTTTTCTTCATTAAGTTTCAATGCCTTTTATTTCTGCTTTCATAGAAAAACTCAAACCTCTTATGTGGGAGCTCAGTGTTGTTATTTGGGCACTTTTGAGAGTTTAAAGCATGTTTTCTACTTAATTTGAGTGTAACATAGGCTATATAGAATTGTTACCTGCAGTTCTATGATTCTGCTCACTTCTCTTTTTTAAAGCCATTCTGTTCTTCTGGTGTGCATGAAAGGGTGTAGGATCACAACAGTGTTGATGCTGTGTGACTGATCACCATGCAGTCCTGCCTGGGAACAGTGGAACTTGTGATAGACAAACCCCACTGGACCTTGACTTTAAGCCAAATCCAGCCCCGTCCCTTGGCTGTGGACCTTACATCCCAGGGGTTAGTCTTTGCAGGCTACGGGTGTGCTGTTCCTCCCTCAGGGCTGAGGGTAGAGCACAGCTCTCTCATCATTTCCGTAGGATTCAAAGGCCAGTAAGACTTTAGGATCATCTTAAAAGATGTAAGCATGATTGAAGCAGTAAAACAAAAGAAGGTTCAGTATTTTCTTTTGATTAAAACTTACATCTTTCAAATAAGTTTTTGCCCTCATGAAGAATCCCCTAGAGAAAGACAGGGGAAAATGAATATTTTTCCAGTTCTACTTTACTGTTTATAAACATGTTTCTAGACAAACAAATAAACCAGATGAAAGGAAATCTATTTCTTTTTAGCTGAGATGACAGATTCCTTTTCTGTATTAATAATCTACAACTTTAAGGGGGTGGTCATATTTACCATGTATAGTGTTATGAGCAGTCAAATTTTATGAATATATTTGTAAAATTGTTCTTTTATATTTCATGTCAAATTGAAAAGTTTATTTCTTCACTATTGTACCTGTGGAAATACAAGCCATTTTACAGGAAAAATCTTCAAAACCTATTAAATGGATCTCAGTACATTGTATGTTGTTGTCAGATTATGTGTTGTCTCCAGCTGGGTTGGGACGTGCAGTGGGAGGCCGCACCAAGGTAGACTTTAGTTGTACATTTCTCAAACTTTTAAGTTAATCCCCAGTAGTTGAGTTTATTAATTTTTTAATATTGTTTATAATACATATGTAAATCTGGATTCTAAAAATCCCCTACTTTTTTTATTAAAGAAATTACTATTTCTTATGGCATTACATCATTGTCAAATAAATCTAACTTCCAGGCAAACTTAACCTGGATTGTAATGGATTTTCTTCATGATCTTTACGGTCATATTGCTACTTTTGTGATGATCGTCATTCACTTTTAATGACATTATAAGGATTGTGTGTAACCCTTCAACCTTTACCATAAGAAAATATTTGTGGCAGTTTTTTCTTATCATATTGATATTCAAAGAGTCAGTGTTACTGAGGAAAGTAGTTTTTTTTCATTTCCAAAAGATGCACATTTATATAGGCTTTTATTTTAGGGGATAAGTATTCTGTGCTTTGTCAGATCCAAGATCTCACAAAATGTAAGATGTGTTGTAGAAAAATACAGCCAATTACAATTGAAAGATACTTCCCATTGGGCAAGGCTGCCAAGATTATTCAATGGGGACAGGATAGTGTTTTCAACAAGTGGACCTGAGGCGACCAGATATCCACATATAGAAGAATGAAGTTGGACTCCTACCTCATACAATACACAAAAAATGAAATGGGTCAGAAAGCTAAAACTATAGAACTTTTAGAAGAAGACATAAAATAAACTTTTGTGATCTTGGATTAGTTCATGATTTTTTAAATACAACCAAAAAGATAAACTGGACTTAATCAAAATTAAAGTTTTGTATATCAAAGGATGTCAAGAGAGTAAGAAGATAATCCACAAACAGAAAATGTTTGGAGATCACATATCTGATAAAGGACTTGTGTCCAAAATATGCAAAGAGCTCTTAAAACCCACTAACAAAATGTAACTTGTTAAAAATGATCAAAATATTTTAATTTTCGGAATATTTTTATACTGATGGCCAATAAGCACATAAAAATTAGCTCTACATACTCGGGAAATGAAATTAAAACTACACAGTGCCAGGACGGCTGCAGTCAGAAGAAGACAGTTTCAGATGTTGGCAAGGAGGTTGAAATACACTCAGACACTGTTGGTGAGATTATAAAATGGTACAACTGCTTTGGAATGGTTTGTTATTCCTCAAAAGATAAAATACATACTACCATGTGTGACCAGCGATTCCACTGACAGAGAATTGAGGTACACAGAGAATTGAAAACATGCTCACATGCAAACCCAGGGAGAACCCAACTGCCCATCAGCTGAATGATGGATAAAATGTGGTGTATTCATACAATGGAATATCATTGTTTTATAAACATGAAGTACTGACACATACTACCACACAGATGAGCCATGAAGACAAATTAAGTTGAAGAAATCAGATCCCAAAGGCCATGTGTTGTAAGGAATAGCCAAATTAGAAAGAGACAGCAAGTAGGTCAGTGGTTGCCAGGAATTACAGAAAGAGAAGAATAAGGGTTACTGATAGGGACAGGTTTATAATATTCGGGGGAGTGATGAAAATATTATAAACTTAGTGGTGATGGTTGATGAATATGCTAGTTAAGTGCATAGACAGAAAACTACTGGCTGGATTGTATGCCTAAAAGGGTGACTACTATAGCACATGAATTATGTCTTAGTACAACAGACATCCTAAATTAAGAGATGTTAGCTTGTGAAAAATATATCTTAGAATTGAAATTCCACACCATGATCTTTGCTTAGTCTTTCAGATAAAAATATTCAGATCCTCCAAACTCTTAAAACATAGCTCATTTTTTCCATTACACTTGTTCTTGCCAACAGAAAAAGGCACATAAGCCTTCCAAAAATGATTAGAAGACAACTTCATATTCTTAAGGCTGGCTCTATTACCTTTTTTTATATGTGGATGAAAGCATAGAGTGCTATTCTGAAAGGCTTCAAATTCCACTTTATTTAAAACATACTTTCATGAATGAAAAATTTTTATAACCAAAATAAAAACTAAGAAGGGCCTATTGTAAAAAATTAAAAGTATAGTAAATATAAAATAGCCTTTCATAATCCCTCATCAACAACATGAATATTTGGAGGTATAGTAATGTGCCACTTAACAGCAGGGACACATTCTGAGAAATGCTCCACCAGCAGCTCCATGTCCTGCCAGCGTCACGAGTACATGCACTTGCCACACCTGGACAGCAAAGCCCGAGGCACACCTGGCTGTAACTACGGCATGTTGCTCCTGGGCCACAAACCCCTACAACATGGGATTGTTCTGTGGACAGGTGCATCACATAACACAATGGTATTTGTGTATCTAAACCCGTCTAAATACGAAAAGCTATGGCAAAAATACAGTATAAAAGTAGGACACAAGTGTGGAGCATGGGACTTGACTGGACTTGCCATCCTGGCCATGCACCGGGTGAGTTGCTGTGTGCCTGGAGAGCAAGCGTGCAGGCCCAGGTTGCGACTAGACATGGTGCACTCAGGCTACGCTAAATCTATTTACAAGTAGGTTTTTCCTTCAATAATAAATTATCCTTAGCTTACTATAAATGTTTATAAACTTTAAAATTTTTTTAACTTTTAACTCTTATAAATAACACTTAGCTTAAGAAATGAACACATTATAGAGCAGTACCAAAACGTTTTCTTTAGACCCTCATTCTATAAGCTTTTTCTATTTTTAAATTTTGTTTTTTTACTTCTTCAACTTTTTTGGTTAAAAACTAAGATGCAAACACATACATTAGCCTGGGGGTCTACACAGGCCCTGGGCCACTCAGGGTCCAGATCATCAACATCACTGTGTTCTGCCTCCACACCTTGTCCCCCTGGAAGGCTTTCAGGGGCAGAGACATACGTGCAGCTGGCATCCCCTATAAAAACAGTGCCTTCTAGAACATCTCCTAGAGGACCTGCCTGAGGCAGTTTTACAGTTAACTTTTTTTCATAAGGAGAAAGAGTATATGCTTAAATACAGATTTAAAAGTATAATTAGTGCATAAACCAGTAATCCATTCACTTGTTATCATTATTAAGTATTACGGACTATCTGTGGTCCCAAACCTCCAGGCCTCAAACTGGCACCAGTCTGTGGCCTGTCAGGAACCAGGCCACCCAGCATCACCACCTGAGCTCCATCTCCTTAACCCCACCCTCCATGGAAAAATTGTCTTCCATACAACTGGTCCCTGGTGCCAAAAAGTTTGGGGACTGCCATTATACACGACGGAGAGCACAGTAGATCTGTTTATGTGGCGTCGGCACAAACAGGTGAGTGACACGCTGCACTGAGACATCAAAGTGGCGTCACTCCCTGTAAAGATTAACCAGCTCTGTTGTAACCTCAGGGGACCACTGTCATACCTGCAGTCTGTCATTACCAAAGATTGCTCTTCAGTATCTAAATGTCTCTTTCTGAACTTACGAAAAAGAATGTTTAATTGTGACCTAATTCTAGTCTTTCATTTAACCAAAAAGATTTTTTTCAATATAAATTCTGAAATGTGGCTTTGAGAACAGAGGGAAAAGTAGTGATTGTATGCCTGTAACAAGGATGTGTCTGAAGCTTGCAAAGGGAGGCTGGGCTGTTAGGCTGCTGAGCTGTAAGTCTGAACTGTCCTCAAGCTATAATGCCACCCTGAATACCACCACCAGCTGTGGGACATGCACTGGCAGGCCCAGATGGACTGTTCATAAGCATTGCTCCTTTGATCTTCTAAACGAGGTCTACTTGAAGAATGTCAGGTTAGTTATAAGAAGTGTAGTAAACTCTTTCTTGCTTAATGTCAGTTCCAAACATGAACTTACATCAGAGTTCCCGAGGTATCCACTCAAAATGCAGACCCCTTACCTGCACGTTCAGAGACTGATGTTCTCATTTTCTACATCTTTCCAGGAATTTCCACCCTGAACGATCTAGATGACACCGCGGATGATTCATGTTCTGCACTTGGAGACATTTTTCTTCAGCTGAAGGGTCATGTCGACTGCATGCCTCCACCCTGCACGTGGCCATGGCCTCCTGGTACCCTTCAGTTTCAGCAGACCCATCATGGTTTCCTGAACCTGAGATTTGTGGCCCATGTGGAGCTGGATGAGTAGAAAGCCTAGCCAGTCAAGTGTCCTTTCTGCCCGGTAGCTGTAGCTGCCACCTTCTCTCAGGTGGATGGACCTGGCTCTCAACCCTATGGCCTTTTTCTAACTCATATTCCCCGTCCTTTCCATCAGCTTCTTTAGTCTATGCTTTTAACCATTTCCACCCTAAGGGGAAACAACCTCCAGAGATTTTCAAACTAGTTTGAAGGAGTTCCTTGTTACAGATGAGATTTATACATAATTCTGGAAGCTTGCTGAGTTCTCAAAATTTTCATCACCCTGGTGGAAACTTGCTGTGGGTGAGAAACTAGGTGTCCTCGGAGCACATTTCACAGGCTTTGAGTCCTACAATCTAGCAACATATTTATAATACAACTGGGAAAAGAAGCCTTTTTTATTATAACATCAGAGACTGATTTCTGCATACATTCTAGAAGTATTGTGCCTTAGATTTAGATTGGGTTAAACAAATCCTCAAGTATTTCCTCACCTGTACAATAGAGGTGATAATAGGGCCCCTTCCCTCAGAGCTGTAGGAAAGTTGACATAATGTGAGTAGTAGTGTGCGGTGGGTGTGCGGCGGTGGCTGCTTGGGTAATTCCTTTCCAGTCATATCACCCAAAGTTTCTTCTGTAGAACCCAAGTCCCAGAAATGCTCTGTAAAAAAGGTCTTACAATCTTATACTCTTGAAAACTAGCCTAGTATATCTCAAATGTATTGACCACAGACTTTTCCCCCATTTAATGTATTATAGTTTAAATTCTTTACCATGAAATAACTTTATTTTATGAAAGAAACACATAGCAAAT